CGTCGCGTGGTTGGTGCTGCTTCTCCTACATCGATTTTTGTATAAATTGGTGACTGTCTGTTGTCCAAATGTTAAGAACGGACGCACCTAGCAAGATGTCAAGAGCAGTTAAGTGGTCAAGTAGGAGATCCTATTATCCTTTTAGCCCGCCTCACATCAGTCTATCTACGTAGGTAGCCATAGACCAGGCGATGAGCCTGTGTCTGCCTCAGGGAGTTGAGAACTTACAGCACAACGGAAGTCAGATTTTCAATAAAATAACCGATTGCCGTTCGGTTTAGGGTGCATAACTTTACATCACTTAGGTAGTTGTTCATTTACCTTCTCTTTTTATAAGTTGCACAAAGAACTGCACTCAATACAGTTGAATGCTTTAAGCAATCCTTAAGGATGAAGGTTTAAGTATAACTTAGAAGATCGCTAGTCGAAGTGACCCAGTTATTAAGTCAACTAAACGATGAGAGCCCCGGTTCGATGTAGTAGCTAGCGCCATTAAAAAAATAGAAATACGTTAATATTAGTAATAAATAGTAATTATAATTTTAATACAAATAAATATATGAACATATTTTTTGTGTTAAAGTTGTACTTTTTAAAAATTAAATAACCTCAAAATCGAGTTAGGGATTTTATTATTTGGGTTTTATTTACAGCAAAGCATTGCATTGATCCATTTTACATTAGAGGCAATGGGTTAATATTATTTTGCTGGTTGGCTTCTTGTCTTTGGCTTCGGGCAGTTTGAAAGTGTTGTCATGCCATTGAAAAATGGTTGCCACATTCGTGCAGCATGCTAGCATGCGCACATTAAACATGATAAATGAATTCAAATCATTTGCACCGCAATAACTCGAACTCAGTATGGGGCAGGCTCCTTCGCTTGCGAGCTACAAAAACAACAGCAACTACAACAGCAACAGCAACAACTACAATAATGGCAAGGCCCCGCAGTTGCTTGAAAATGAAATGATAGCTTATCGGGAATGCCAAGTCGAGGGAACGAACACTTTTGGCAAGTGCCATTGCCATTACCATTGCCAATACGGGGGAAGGCAACAAACCGTAAGCAAACGTGGCAGACGTTGACTAAAATTGAGTAGAAAACGATACCGCAGGAGACGGAAGATATATTGCAATTGCCGATCACAGGAAACAAATGAATATTTCATGCTGTGCAAATCAACATGAGGCTGGGGAGCAGGCGCACGCACACACACACCCGCCCCACACACACACACACACACTGTAGCATATTCCACGTGCCATTTTAGTAGCAGCAGCAGGAGCATCAGCATCAGGAACTTCACCAGGCAGCGGCAACAAAGTTTACGTTTGAAGGTAACCTGCCCCGGAGTAGCGCTTGCGGCATCTGGAGCCGGAGCTGAACTTTATGTTGACAAAGTTTTTTGTGGTAAAAAGCCACATCAGTAATTTGCAGAGCACACACAAATACTAACACACACGTAGCCATGACATATGTGGCCTGGTTTAGGGCTGCTGTGGCTTCGTTTTCGGCTGGCTGCTTCCGCCGGGCCAAGCATTAATCATTTGGCATGTAAATTGCCAATTAATAACTGCTGCATGTCATTTGGCATTCGGCTTCAAAATGTTACGCAAATTTCCAGCCAGGCAGGCGGAACGGATTGGGCGATGCTTCGGAGTTAGAGAAACTGAGACTCAGGCCAACGAACCTATAAACATTGCCAAGTGCTAGGCGCATTCGCATGGAGCCCTTAATGAAGACAAATAGCACTTGGTCTCTGCCAAATTTAGCGGAAAATTGAAAAAAGCTTCGCATAGCAGGTCGTGTAGTATTTTCAACCAGCCTTGCGACAAAGTTCTTGGCAACAGCCCCAAGATATTGCAGTACCATCCACAATTTATACGTTATCGATACGCTTGCAATGCATTGCATACAGACAAACGACAAATATGTAGTACACAATAGCAGCAGCACATGCTATAAAATATAGTAATTGATATTTTAGCCTAACAGTGCACACAGCATGTGGATGTATTTTATAAGTGAGAAATTATGGCGACTTTTCAGATGTGTCGCCTGAACTTAAATATTTGTTGAAAAACTCATTCACAAACAAATAGAATAGTTTCACCCAAAATATCCCCATATAATGGAATAAACTAATAATTTAAATTGAAGTAAATCCTTGTTGCTCCTCAGAAAAAAAAAACAAAATCCCTTTCTATAGATATTCTTTGAACTCCTAATAGAAATCTTTGAGGCTCAGCTCCATTTTTAAGTAAACATTTAGGCTTCTGGCGAGCAGTTTTTCACTTTTTGTGGATTTGTCAAAGCTCTATGAAATGAAAAGCAAAGCACTTACTTAAAAATGTTTCACACATTTTCACAGCTTTGCGTTTCTGAGATGCCACCCCACCATCCCGTTGGGTATGTGTGTGTGCGTGTGTGTGAATTGGGGTTTTAAAAGCGCAGCTCTACGTAGCAAATGCACAAAACTATTAAAATATATAATTTCTCTTGTTTGCACAACATAAGCAGAATGCAAAAACTGTGTGCTTTTTGGCATGCGCATAAATAAAAATTATTTATATAAGCGCAAATCCTTTTCTACATGCTCTTATACGGACACGCCCGCCGCACACATATGCATAGAGCAAAGCAGATCCGACCAGACTAGAGTAGAGCGGGCCAGCCGTGGCTACAATTTTACAGTGAATTGCACTAAATAACTGCCATTAAGCATAAAAGCTGTTCTCGCATGAAGGAGCTGCTGGCAGCATTTAGGCTAAATGCAAGTTTAAGCATCTTGAAGCTGGCGCAAATAAAGTGGACTTACGCAGCAAGGATTCACGCAGACACAGAAACACACACGAGCATGAACATGAACATGGACATGGACATGGACTTGGACATGGAGTTGGACATGCACAGAGAGCAGTAGTCCTTTGAACAAGAAACACCAATACAAACGCAGTTCGAATAAAAGGATAAAATGGCGCGTATATGGAAAGAAAGAGAGCTGTAAAACTGGCTAAAACTTTCATCAATGTGTCGTCTGGCGCATTTGAGCTGCATGTCCTGCTAGCATATGCCCTGTCTCCGTCTCCGTCTCTCTCTCTCTCTCTTTCACTCTCTCTCTCCAGATCGTTTGCCACAACCAGTGCCACTAATGTGCGCAATTGTGAGACGCTTCCTTCTTGGGATTATGTTTGTGTTATACTCCAGACACCGCCTGCCGCTGCTTTTTGCTGCATTACATTAACACAGATAAAGTTCCTTGATACATAATTTCCATGCATACACAAATAGCCGCCAGGCTGAGCTGGATGGTTGGCTGGCTGGCTGGCCCGCTGGGTTGCCGGCACATGTGGCCAACCTCTCGAGCCTCTCCAGCAGCGCACTGTGCCAACTTGCAAATGGCGACAAGATGCTAGCTGGCAAAACTTTTTGCTTGTCCAAAAGCAAACAAAAGTATTACGAGTACCGGGGCTAAACGTTGCCAAATGTTGTCGTTGCCGTTGTTATTGTCATTGCTGTTAAAGTTGTTGCTGTCGCCCTAAAATATGCAAATGCATTTGCAAGCGCTGAATAAACAGGCACAGCGCTCAAATTATTGTCCCCGCCTCCAGCCTACAGTCTATTTAATGCTCCCCTTTGTCTTCCACACAGATAACAAATGCCGAGACGCAGTATATTCGCACAATTGATAATCTGATCGCTTCACGCATCTCTCTGAAGCTGCAGCTGCAGGGCGTGCACTTCTCCAGCGTCAACACGCTCATTTATAATAGCGTGAATTCTGTGTATGGCCATGGCGGACCCATGTATACACCCAATCCAGGTGGCTTGGTACTGCGTTGCACCGCACAGATTGGCGACCTATACCAGGAGTATAAGGAAATTGAATTGGGCACACCACAAAAGGATCCGGTGCCGGCACGTGGTAAGTTCACATATTTTTAAATGTGTGCCCTGACATTCTAAACTAATTACGCAATAATATATTTGCCTTCCGTTTCCCTTGTTTTTGCTACTCTTCTCGATTGCCCCTCTGTTTGCTTGGATGCCTGCTTCCGGATGCAGTTACGCTCTCTTCCGGCTCGAGCGTGAAAAACTTCTTCAGCACGTATTTCTCCACATCGGCGGCATCACGACGCGTCGGCGGCGTCCATTTGGCGCCCATTACAATGGCGCTGGCAGCGCTTCTTGTCAGTGGCGGCGCCCTGCTTAGCCAGATGGTCCGCGGGCTAGTTTTGCAGCTCATACCCATTGACGCCCGCCCAGCTATCGTGCATTCCAAGTCCACTGACGGTCGTCTGTCCACGCTGCCCTGCCTCCAAGGCGCCATTGCAGCGGCTGGCTTGGCCAGCTCGGAGATAATTAGCTTGGGGGCTAGCCGTGGCCAGCAGCTGGAGCTCTGTGCGTGTGTTACAAATTAGTTTAATTGTCAAGTAATTAAATTACAATATATTTTGTATGCAAATTAAATTTACTAAGTATACATATAATACATATGTGTGTGCAGTCAACATTCAGTTGGTTTATTTAGTGCTTTGATTGTTTTAATTATTTTTTAATTTTGTTTTGATTTATAATCTTGATTTGATAGCTTTTAATTAAATCTACATTTTTCAATGTGGTGTCTAAACTAGCGAGCTAAAACCAAAGTACTTTTAAGCAAACCATTTGAGGTTAGCATAGTTAAGCCGATAAATTCAGATTAAATCCATGCAACCATTAAATAAATGTTCACATCTGAAGTCAAAGTAATCGTAAAATTACTTATTAAATGTGCAAACTAACAGAAAATCTAAGGTATGTGTTGATATTGAAATGGCTAACCAGTAATAAAAAACAACAAAAAAAGCAAAAAAAAAAAAACGAAAAGAAAATAAGTGTGTAAAATATATTTAAAAACTGCAGTAAACAATTATAAATGAAATCTACTCGTAAAATGAACGCCTTGTGAGGGCATATTGTAAATGGTGGTGAAATTGCATAAAAATAAAAGAAAGTGTTAATTTTAAAAACAAATCAATCGAGCTGTTTAATTTCATCCTGGCATATTTTTGATTTTCTTACCAAAATACCTAGACCTGACTATCTTGTACTATCAGCTGGCTGACGAGTTGTAATTCATTCAAGCGACAAGTAAAAAGGTATTTTTCAATTCAGCAAATCTTGCAAAGTTGATTTTTGGCGTTAAGAATTCTTGCACAACATTCTTGCAACAAAGGCTGGCAACTTCACAGTGACTGCCTCTGCTTATTGTCTGCATTCGGTTTGCCTGCAAAAGTGTGAAAAAACTTGCCTTTACGCAGCGGAAGTGCCGAAAGAGATATAATATAAGGAATCTAGTTCATTGCATTGTGTGCGGCATGCTTTTTAGTTGCCGTTTCCGTTCCATTCTGCATGCGCATTTTGTACTTATTATTTTTTGCAATTTCTTTGAAAAATTACTGAAGCGCACACTGCTGTTTCTTTTCAATAGCAGCCAAGAGTTCCAGGAGTTCCCACTGCCTAAACTTTAGTCTGGCACAGAATGTTTCAAAGGGCTCTCTGAGTCGATCTGTTCTGCGAGTAGAATAATTACAGAATTGTACACAATACTTGCTATATGTATACTAGTATATATTTATGCCCCCTGCAATGGTAAGAAGGATAACAAAGGCAGCAGTGAAATGATTTGTGTCTGACAAAAATAATAATTTAATTTGATTGAGCGCTGTGGAAATACTATAGAAACTTCTATGTTTTCTGACTTTAACTTAGAGACCAGAAGTTGTTTTATTCTGAAAATACATTTTATTTGAATTTTTTATATTTTCTAACGCTATCGTATTATTCAGAGCGAATGAGATAGAGTGCTTGAATGAAAAAAGGTGAAAGCAAGAGTGAAAGAGATTAGTTTACGGAATTTGCTCATAATATACACATATATATTTAACAAAAAAGCATGTAAATACACCTTTTGCAATACATAGTTGCCAGACAATAGTTTATTCGAATATTTGTTATTTTTGAGAGAAAAATTTGCTATTGACTTGGAACTTTATGGTGTTCAGGTTACTTTTTTCGTTTTAATTAATTATTTCAATTTGGGAAACAAAATATAGCTCAGTCATGAAAGTAAGGTAATAGTCATATATGCTTAAAGATCTCTGTCATCAGAGGCCATAAGTCCAACAAAATAATTTTAATTATTCATGTTAATTCATCTTTACATTCACATTTGAAACTATATGTATTTACGTATCAATTACCTAAAAGGCGAAATCGGCAGAAACAAAAATCCACATCTGATGCCTTTATTCATCATCAAAATTTAATTATTGTATTACTCTTGGCCCTGTAATGTGTGAAAACTGCCCATTGCATTCTCAATTGAGTGAACAAATAAGAATGCTTCTCAGAAAAGTGCTCGACTATCAGATATCCACCTAGATATATGAAGAGAAACTTTCCCATATGTATTGTATATAAAAATAAGAAACGACCCTATGGGCATTTTATACGTTTTTGCAGTCAGCAAACAGACCAGTTGCAAATATTTCCATAATTGGTTATTCCCAGTTTTAACCAAATGATGTCTGAGTGCGGGGTACAAGAAAAAATAGCCCGCATACTGGTATTCGTATTCGAATCCATCATATTAAGTCATGTGTATGTGAATGTTCTCGTACCTGTTTATCATTTATACACGGCTGGAAGCGCATCCCATGCGCTAATCACATCTTTTGCTAATTCTTTCGCCATTGGCTATGCGAGTTCTGTTGACCAAAACAACATGCGACACATGACAGATATCCGTGGCAAGGTTGTGTTCTCGACGTACATTGAAATTTCATTACCCCTAATTAGTTTCCAGGTTCTTGTCACTAGGGCCGTCAACAGTTTGTTTTCCGTTGCCAGCTCACGTGCAAAACGGGCTACTACCATTGAAATAGTGGCAACAGAGGTGCATTTTCACTGGCCAGGCCAACCGAATGATGCAGTGCTTCTAATTGGAGTCAGATTATTTGCAGTCACACTTCATTTCACAGCTGCCAGTGGTCAGCATGCAAAACCCATGTTGCCTCGGAAATGTTGAATGGCCCTGCGGGCCACAGCTTATTTGTGTATGCAGAATTAACACACCGAACGTGTTGTTTTCGCTTTTCCTGATTGATAATTTTGTTAGCTAATATCAGAATATGATTTGACCCACCGCTGCACCCTGCTGAAATCAATTAGCTACGCGCATCGAATTACAAATTGCTTACTCTATGATGTTTTTCCACCCGCACGCGTGGTCTTCTTTCTGAAGCGTGTTCCATCGACTGACAGGAGCCCCCAGCACAGTAGCTGTTTGTGTTTCTCACGATGTCCCTAACAGCGTGACGCAGAACGACACACCACATACACACCGAAACACATACACTAACGCTTAAGCTTCGTTTTCGCTGCAGGATTTGTGAAAGGGAGGGGGGATTGCATTGGAAATTGATTCCATTGATTCATATCGCGATTTTGGTGAGCACAGCCCTTGAGGCGTCATCCTCGACGAGCGCTTAACTCTGACTTAGCGGGTCGCGTGCGGCATCATGCGCCATTGTTCGATGACTGCGTGCTCCTGCAGTTCCCTTTGTTTCCTGTGCTATGCCACTTTATTTTCCTCGTGTCCACTCACCATAAATACCGATGGTTATTTTTTAAATTTAAAAGGAATGGTTGCTAAATTATCTGTAAAGAAATCGAAGTAACACCACTCTTCCACCTATTAAATACACAAGAGCATGTGTATGCTTTATAAAACGAGATTGCCCGATTGCGGAAATTTATCATACTTGTTGCCAATAGGGGTTCCAGTAATGCAATTTTAATATCTTTTCACGGGCGGGAAATGTATTAAGAGTGGGCTTAAAATTTTAACATCTTGGTCCGGGCAACGCCGGGTACTACTCGCTTTGTTTGTTCTTTTATAAGTATGCAAGTATGAAAATATGTTGTTTGTCTGCAAATACAAATGTGTGAATCTATGTGTGAATGTATGTGTGTATGTATATATATGAATGCATGTTCACTTATATGAAATGCAGAACACGTTGACTTTCTGTTGCGTTGCACATTTAAAAAAACTTGTTTTTATTATTCAAATATTGCATTACTACACGATGCTCATAAACTCACCCTCTCGCTCTTATTTACGCTCCCTCCCATAACCTCTCACTCTCTTTGTGACAATTCCTCTATATTTCTTTCTGCTGGCCTTACTATAACCTTCTTTCCATTTTTTTTTATTTTGGAAATGCAAAATTATTAAAATAATTGTTTGCTTTTTTTATGGTGGCAAAAAATATTTATAGTGCAATTCATCATATATGTTTATACATAAACAAGAAAATATGTCATGGAAATTCGTAACAAGCCATATTTAATTTATCCACGCTTAACAAATACTTTAAAATTGTACATCTTGCAGAAAATAGCGCATATAAGGAGACATCTAAACCACTCTATATATAAAACTGTTTGTCCTGACTGACTGATTGACTGACTGACTGCTTGACTGACTGACTGACTGACTGATTGGTGATCAACGCACAGCTCAAACCGTAAGAGCTAGGAAGCTGGAATTTTTACTGTAGTTACCTTATGCGATATAGGCGCACGTTAAGACAGAGTTTCGGGAAACTCCACTTGCATGTGTGGAAAAATTGTGAATGGCGTTTGCATGAAACTTTTTGGCTTACCATCCGATCGGCCTTAAATTCATTTTCAAAGATTTTTGTTCAAATTCAGATGATGGGTGTTTCGCACTTTTTGGAAAGTGCATTCCTGAAGTTTTAAGATTTGTCCGATTTGTTTCAAACATATTTTCAAAACTCTACATAAGAACTCACTGAATACGTGTTTCAGCGATTTGGGAAATTTCGCCCGAAACAGTGATAAATTGGAGAAAACGGTTGTTTGACAGTTCTTTGTTTACCGTTCGATCGGTTTCAAACTCGTTTTCAAAAATCTTTGAGAAAATTTTTTTTATACGTACCACGGGCAAGGCTTGGGTATACCCGCTAGTTATATGTATATTTTCTTCTATACAATAAAGCTTCTATAAAAAAATCAGGTTAAAAGAATGTTTTTGGATAATATATTTCACCGATGCAAGGGTACTGAATCTTCGACGTGCCACAGATAGCCCTTCTTCCACCTTGTTTGCTTAATTATCGCTTTTGGGCTTTTAAAATTTTGGAATGCTTTATGTTTTATAATCTCTGACGGGTGAACTATTTTGCTGCGTGACTAACGACAGCCATAAAATGTGTATACATATATAGTCCGTGTAAAGGTGTGCTTACCAGTTGAAGCGTTATTACGGAAATGTGCATTAATAGTGCATGAGCGGATTGATTAATGCGGCAATAAGATAAAGGACCATAGACCGCTTTAAAGCTTTCGCCAAACAAAATTGCAATTGCTTAAAGTCCCGCAAAACCGAGTGCTTTATAAATAATTATACGAAATGCTGCTTTCAGTTGTCCAATGGAACTGGAACAGGACTCAACTTAACGGGACTCGAACACATTTATATTGACACCATGTGGCTAGTTGGGTGGGGCGATGGGCCGCTTTTATCGCTCATATTTTCATTTACGTAAAGTGCACAATGCAAATAAATAAAAGTAAAGTATGGGGGGGGAAATAAAAAGGGTTGCCGCTTCGCCTTCCGAACTTTTGACAAACCGTTGCCCAGCCAAATTGCTGAACATCTGTGTCTTACAGCATATGACGCGATGTGTCGTAACTGGTGAAGCTTGTGGGCATGAATGTGGGCGCAGAATGCGTGCGGCTGGACAGTCCTCAGTGGAGCGACACGCAAATGGACGGTTGGGCGGACCAACGGATACACGCACTTATTAAAAGACAACAAATAAAACACATAAGACTGGAACTGAAAACTGACGTTATATATGTGCAATGAAAGGATGCCATTATATTGCCCCGATTGGGAATCGGAGGTAAAGAACTGAAAACTCAGCTATCAGCTGGCGTTTATTTACACACAGAGTCAGTCTTTTGTTTAACACGCGCGTGCATACAAAAAAGCTATGATTTTTTACGATAGTATATAATAGTGTTTCCCATGTATTCCTTTCGTCAATGAGGGACTACGGTAGATTTCATAATGATCCCTTGAGAAGTGTAACTTAATTTAAAATTGAGCAAACGGTCGTACAACAAAGAAGGGTTCATCAAATTAAAATTTGAAATTTCGGTCGCAAACTTTGCTGTCCCTGTGGCGCTTATGTAAAATGTCGCTCTATTGAATTTACACTTAGGAACTTTTCTCATGTTCTGGCCAGTCCAGGACAAGTGCCCTAAATGAAGGTCCCCACGTTTGATGTGATGACGTAATGTCAAGCTGCAGCAAAGCAATGATAATGCTTTGGGTTTAGTCAGTGATCCGTGCGTGTTGGGTAACACACACACACACACATACATGCACACACACTGAGAAGTCCTTAACATATCCTGGCACACGCACGCGCCTTTCTATAATATACTTCAAAAAATAATTTCGCCATCGTCTACGACAACTAAAACTTGACACTTTGCAAAGAAACTTTCTGTGGTCTGAGTTTTGCACTTTTGAGTAGTGCCTCGGACAAGACATTCGGCGGGAGGGTATAGACACTAGGTTGAGAATCCGAAGGAAGGAAGTTGAAGGAGGGATCAGGGCCAGTGACAGCTTAATTTCA